CAACTTGACAGCCTTATGTGAATGGGTGGTGAAACAGGGGAGAGGAGGGATGGTAAAAAGGTAAACATTACTAAGGGCTACAAAAGATAGGAAGTTGTGGAGAGCCATGATCGCACATGTCTTTGAGAAAAATAGCACATAGAAGCAGAAACCTGACACATATTTATCTGCTAGACTTTGATCAGAAATTTTCACTGTATAATGTTTAAGATATAGGATTAATATTCACCACTGTGCTTTGACAAATCATGTTGAAGAATAAATATCTATTGTATAAAAAAAATGCTTTATTATTATTAGATAACAAACTTATTGATATACCAATATATATATATATATATATATATATATATATATATATATATCATTGTGGATAAAATAATGAGGTATTGGAGGTTTTTAAATGTGTTTTCTATGTATATTTCTTAATCAGGTAAATATTGATGGCTGCAGATTCATAGTGTACTTAAATAATATCCTATAATTATTCCAGATTTTATTCTATTGCAGTGGAAAGAATAGCAACAGAATAAAATCTGGAATAATTATAGGATTTTAGTCAAGAGCACTGCAGTATAGTAGGATTGATATTATGTAATTGTTCAGCATTCTTTTTTTGTTTCTAACAAAATTTTCTTGTTTCATAATAATTTGCTTAGTTTTTAAAATGCATCTTTTGCTATCCCAACACACCTTCAGATTTCAGTGTCAGTTTTCTCATCCTCTGTTAAAATACTCCCTAGATATTTAAATTTCTGAAGGTTGGCAATGAACTATAATACTTAGGACAAGAACAACACATATAAGATTTTCCAGTGGTGCATAGAAGTAGTAGTCAACTGCTAGAATTGAGTGAAGTGAATTCTACAATGAATCTCCAACTGCAGACCAACATACAGTATTTACTACTGTATTTATGTGAATAAGGACATACCCATTATCATCCGTAGGTATGCTACAACATTTTGGTATCTCTAATTCTTAGCTCACATCTTGAGTTGTTCCTCTTACAGACAACCATACATTTTGTGTTCTTTACATTGATACTTAGTCTTAGCATGCTTATAAACCAAATTATAACTCTGCTTTTAACAACTAGACAAATCTGTCAGTAAACAACTTATAAATGGTTTTAAAATACACAATGAAGAATATACTTTCATATATGTTATCTAGTCATATTTTGTGTAATGGAAGAGCTATAGTAGAAAGATTTATTCTCCCATTTCCATTTCCATTGTTATAGGCATTATTATATCCATGATATAATAACACCGTATTTCATGGCTGTAATGGAATAGCTGAAAGGAAAAGGAATGACAAACATATTTTGTTCTCAAAGAGACTTTTATACTAAGACATGCACAAAACTATATATTTATATATACAAGCTTCCCACACAGAGAATAATAGACCGCGTATATCTACACAATGGGTAGAGTGTAAGGAGAAGCAAAAGGAAAAATCTTACATATAATATGGCGATACTCCTGTGTCTGGAGAAGCCATGTTTAGGACTCCAGATTCAAATGGGATGGATTCATCTTTGTCCCAGGTGAAGGCATATTCTGTGTATGGGAAACAGTGAGTCTTTGGTTTTTCCAAATTAAGACTGAGAGCTGGATTTTCTTCCTATGTCTGGGAAAGATATATTCCCAAAGAAAAACAGCACCATGGACTTGTAAGTTGCTGGGAAAGCAGATTTAGCCTCTGCCCAATTTATGGGGGACCTGGGTTAAACAAACCAACATTTCAGTTTCCCTGCTGTAAAATGCACTGAATTTGACTGATGCTATCATCACTGTATCAAGTGACATCACTAAACGGCTCTCATGTGATCCATGTGATTTATCTCCACCTACAATTGTAATGTTTGATACTCAAGTAGTCACACTATATGAATATGGAAAACTATCAGTTCATGTTTAGGAGAGATAATTTATACTTGCTGCTCTTCACATATGTAAATTAGACTAAGACTAATATGTAACTTTATTGTTTTTTCTTAATTTTACAAATCTAGTGTCAGTAATTGAACCATGAATCTAAGATCATCCAGCCCAGCACATCAGCCACTGTGCCATTAATCAAGATATTTCTTTCATAATTTTAAATCTATTGTCCCTAAGATAATAACTGTAAAGTGATGAGAATGAAGAATTACAGCCCATCATGCTTATCTTTAATATGTATTGTACCATATCAATAATGCGACATATGAGAGAAATATGGTATGTCGTTTTGTAGGAATAAATGATAAATATGCTTTGATGATATATGTAGGATGAATAACATGATATTCTAGTATGAGATATGTATTAATTACCTCAAACTAGCACTGTCATTCTTATTTACTTTTGACTAACCTTTTCACAAACATATACAATTCATTATCCTACATTTTCAGATATTTAATACCAAGTACACACACATATCTATCTATCTATCCTAGTCTGTTCATTTCTCTCAGTTTGCTTATATCTATCTCAGTCTATTCATTATCTATCATTTATCTATTTAGTTTTGAAAACTACAGTATTTCTCATCTTTATGATGAGTAATATTTGTAATACTGTAGGAATGACTGCTAAAAAACTCCATTTGCCAAATTTGTAGACAAATCCTACAAATGCACGCTGAGAATTCTTTTCAACCAATAAAAAAAATGGACTATTCATGGTCTTAGCCCCACATTTTTCTTTTTTCTTGCCTTAAAGTCAGAATGATATGAACACTTGACTGTAGCTCTTTTACTCTTCTTATTTTTAAACAATTACTTTATTACTGTCTTAAAGTTGCTTTGCTTTTGACTTGATTTTCTCTCTCTCTCATATATATATATATATGTATATATATATATGAAGAAAAATATACGGAAAAAAAAACAAACAAAAATCCTAATATACAATTATGCTGTTTTAATGTTAATATAATGTCAACGTCAAACGTTTCGGTCTAGTAGACCATTTTCAAGACATATTCATAAAACATAGTTAACATTAGACTATATTTAATTCAACATGAAATGACGATGGACATAAGAGTAAGACTGATCAAAACAAGAAAGAATATCTTGTTTAGGAAACAGTTATATTATAGACTGCTTGAAAAAACATTTATTAGTGGAACCCAATGTAGCAGAATAGGTTAGTGTGTTTATTATTTTAAATATATATATATAATATATATATATATATATATATATATAGTTATATATTACAAAGAAGAGAGAAACCACAAACGTTTTTGGTCGTAATGTGGATTTTTTAAAAAAATATATTGTGCTTTATTTTCCATAATTTTGCTACATGTGTTTCCGGTCTCGCAACCTTCATCAGGCAAAGAGTGGATATTTTTTTTTTTTTTTAAGCATTATGCCTCGAGCAAGGCGTGAAGCCACTAGGATGCAGGGGGTTGCAGAAGATTTGGAGCAAGAGCACATAGGAGTGATAGAGGAAAGGATTAGGAGAGGGATAGTGGATAGATCAAGGTAACTGGAGATGTCGATTGACATTACATTTGAATAGTTGGAGATTATAGCTCTCAGGGAAACAGTAATAGGGAAGGGTGTTCCACAGGCGATAGGTGCGAAGTATAAAGCTATTGGAGTAGAAGAGACGGCTACATTTAGTAGTTTCTACAGTGAAAGTGTGAGATCTGGATGCCAGCCTTGTAGGGCGCTTGAATTCATGAAGTCTGGGAACCAGTGAAAGCAGCTCATCGGAGCAATTACCATGATTGATATGAACAGACTAAGATAACTAGAATGGTATGAACAGACTGGGATAAATAAATAGATTGGTATGAACAGACTTGGATAGATAAATAGATCAGTATGAACAGATTGAGATAGATAGATTGGCAGGAAAATGGTATGGTAGATATGAAAAAATGACATCGCTAGACAGATATGAAAATATAACATTAATTAGTAGAAAGATAGATATGAAAAGAAATGGATAGATTGATATGAAAAGATTTCGATAAGATATATAAAGAATGGAATAAATTAATATATATAAAAGGATGAAAAGAATGGTATTGACAGATAGATATATATGAATGGACTGAGATGAATAGATTCAGATCATGTTAACCCTACCAGGTTTTTTTAATCAATAACCCAATCAGCCTGCAAAAATAACCAATAAGTTTTTCTCTAAACAAACTTGAAATTTGTCTCTTGGTAACATCTACATAAATTTATAAGTAAAATGCAAGTTGAAGAGAACAGAATACTTGTGAAAATATCAATGATCATTATATTATTGACCCAGAAAAAAATTAATGATGCAATGAATGAAAAAAGAAAAAAAAAATCTCCAATACTTAAAAATGGCAGCCTGAAGGCAAACTGTGGGAATATCACATATTTTCTGCATTGGCAGAAGTAAGGGGACAGATTAGATATGGTTGGCAGGGGCATAGAAGAAGAGGACAGGGGACAGATTAGATATGGTTGGTGGGGCTTAGGAGAAGAGGACAGGGGGGATGAAGAATTGAAATGGTTTTATTTATTTCTTGCTTTATATTTAGGTGATACTATATAAATAAGAAATATAGATAAGAAGTATTATTTGTACATCAATAATTTAACTTTTTTCATCAACAGGAGATGATCCCTCTTGTTATAAGCACCTTAATTTATTGTCTACTTGATAGACAAAAAAAAATATTCTTCAGGTGAAATTATTTTTGTTTTCATTCTTTGAAATTTTTTTTTTTATCTTTAAGGGTTTTTAGTAATTTTATTTTATTTAATTAATTTTTCTATTCTCTTTTCCTTGCAATGTTTATCTATTTATGCCATCGGTCTCATTCCTTTCAAAATCGAACAAATATGTGAAAGAATGAAATGTACTTGTCTAGACAGGAACGAGTAATATTAGTCTACTCTTTGAATAATTGTTTTTCTTTTCTTTCTTACTAAATATTTTTATGTTCCTTTCTTTTCTTTATTTCTTTTATTTTCTCCTTCTTTATCTTCCAATTCTTTGGCTTATGGCCACATCATATTGAAACATCGGTTTCTGTATGATCACCAAAGTTAAGCATTTGAGCCTGATCTGTACCTAGATGGGTGACCGCTTGGGAATAACAGGTGTTGTAAGCTTGGAGGTGCAAGTAGTGTAATGGATAATAGCTCAGAATTGTTAATTGGAGAGCCAAGTTCCACACTTATGCACAATTATCCTTGGGAAGGGTATGAATCCAGCTCTTCTACCTCCAGCTATGGGTTAAAACAAAAAAGAACCAACCAAGCAATACAATTCTTTTTTTTTCTATTTTACACTTTGTCTTTTTCAATTTTCTTGTATTTTTTTTCTTCATGGCCATCACACTATCTTCTTCCTTTTAAATTATTCTTTTGCTTTATCTTTATTATTCTTTTTCGTTCGTCTATTCTTTCTTTTGTAATTCTTGTATCTCACCTTTGTCTTCTTTTTTTAGTTTCATTATTTAATTTCCTTTTCACTTCATTTCTCTTTCTTCTAAATTTCTTTTTTTGTTGTTCTTTCTTTCTTATATTTCCTCTTTCTGTTTTCATCCTATATTTTTCATTGTTTTTTGTTCTTCATTCTTTTTTAATTCTCCCCTCTCACTTCTCCTTCTCCTCTCTCTCTCTCTCTCTCATGTTTTCTCTTAATTCCTCTTTCCTGTAATTTTTTTTTTCATCTTTTCTTTCTTTAATTTTTTTTTCATCTTTTCTTTCTTTAATTTTTTTCTGCTTACATTTTATTTACTTCTTTCTTTTGATTTCTTTTGCAATTTCATTTAACAGTCTTTCTTTCATTCATTTGTTCTTTTGTTCTTTCCTTCTTCCTCCTCATTTCTGTTTGTTTTATCCATTTTCATTTTATCCTACAGTTTCCTTCCTTTTTCATACTTATGTTTTCATTTTGTAAAAACACCTGTCTATCTATTACTTCTTTCAATTATTCACAAAATGTATTCAATAAGTGTGATTGATTTGACTTGTCAGGTTTTAAGCACAAATACTTGAACCTGTCAGACGCCCAAAGTCTGCTTGCAGTAAAATATGAGAATTCCACTTGAATCTGAGCCAAGAATTGTCAATAGTAGTAATTTACATGCAAATTTCCTTGTTTCAAAATTCTTTTTGCTAGTCGAACACAAGTGAATTGCTCCACCTGGACACCAGGCGTTTCTTAACTCAGTTATCAATTTGAATAAATTTCTTGGTAGAATATTTTGCTGGTGATCAAAGAGAGAAAGATTTAAGCCCTAATACATCAATATTAAAAGTAGGAGTTATGGCATTATTTCAAAACGAGAACAAAACCCAAGAGCATGGGAACTTTATTTTCCACTTTTATTCGCTGCATTTATTTTAACATTTGTAAAATTTGCAATGACAAAGACTCATCTGAAGAAATCATTTTTTGCTGGGAGGTATATTTTGGTAGGTGGATCTCCAGTGCCATAAGATCTTGGATCAAAATATAAAATTGAAACAGAAATCAAAGCAAATTGATATTTGATGACATATACGAATCCTAGCCCCTATTATCTACATTAATATTCCAACATTATCATGTTAGGTTAGCTATAAATACTAGTAGTCTAAATCCCTCATGGATGCTTTCCTGATCACTAGAATCTTAACCACTTCCAGTCAAGGGTCAGTTATTATGCATTCTCTGTATCTTCATAATTTTCACTTGATTCTCTTACATTCATATCATACACCCCATTCAGTAAACTTCTGCCTTGAGTAGCTCTTGGGCCTTTTATTGGATAAATATTAGTATAAAAAAAGGAAAAAAAGTTAACCAGATATATCAACTTGTAAGATCCAGGATATACATTCTGATCATTAGCTGACTTAAAGGGACAACAATTTCTTTTTGGGTGGGGATGAATGCGACGTCTTTATTTAAGTGAATTAGTTTATGTAGCATGTTGTTATAATAAAATAGACATTGTCCAGTTTTGGAATATTCTTTGGAGAAGCAGCAAATTCTACAGCCAACAGCTAATTTTGAGCCATCTTGAGGGAAAAAAAAAGTTTCATCCATGGATGAATTTTAAGTTGATTATTTTGGGGACTGAAACTATTTAATTTCATTTTCTGTCACAAAAGATATCTGGCATCACTGAAATCGAAGGAGAATTTTTTTCAGTTCTTATAATATATATATATATATATATATATATATATATATATATATATATATATATATATATATATATTAGATTACAAGAACTATGGAGGCTGGTGGAGTAATGGATAGCGGCTTGGATTGAGGAATCAGAGAGCCGAGTTAATTCCAGTCGAATCCATTACATTCACTTATGTGCTAATACCCTTGGGAAAGGTGTGAATCCTCTTCTTCTCCCTCCAGCTATGGGTAAATAGCAGGACAGACTGGGTTCTATAGCCTTGGATGGCAAGTGGTCTAGGAGAAGGACAACTCTGAATTCAAAACCTGCGGAGGGTCATATGGGGACCTTGTGGCACTTAGTGCACCAGGTCTCTGAATTCGGCCCTTCAAAAAGTGTGGATGGTCCTGCATGAAACGTTTACCACTATAATCAAATCTCATGTGTCATTGCCAGGTTGTCGGTTTCTTGGGAACTGATCTGCTTGACCCTCATATGTCAAACTCAATGGGAGAGGCGACATATATATATATATATGTATATATAATTTTTATATATCAGAGCAATTTTAGGAAAATCTAGCAAAATAGACAGGATTTTTAATGTGACAGCTTTTATCCTTTTGTATGTCATCAGACTAAAGTGATGTTTATGTTTATGTGATTACACATGCATATAAAGGAGAGGAGACACTGAAATTTTGAATTAATTTTTTTTTAAATATATGTTTAGACTATATAACCAAACACATATTTAAAATATGGACATTTGTTTTATATTTTTACTGGCTGACATACACGGTAATTTCCAGGAAAGCTGGTGTTATCCACAGTTCCCATCCTCATATCCTTTCTTTGGTTATCTGAAAGTAACAATTCAAAGTAACTATCACTGAAAAATGTTTTTGTGCATTCACAGAGAGTACCCTACTGCAGCACCTAGGATTTTTGCAGGAAATACCAATAAGTTATGAATACCAAAATCGTAAAGCGACTTATGTAATAACAGAGAAATCTGTTATCCGAAAGTAACAATTCAATGTAAGTAGCCCTGTAAAGGGATTTTGTGCGTTCACAGAGAATATAGCCCTTAAGAGGGCTAGTGTTAAAATAAATTTACAGCAGATGTACAAATAGACTGACATATAGTTTCATAAAAGACCTGCAAATAGATTTATGTATATATATATATATATATATATATTTACAAATAGAATAATATATAGATTAACTAAAGATTTACAACACTGACAAATAGTACAGTTAAATCATAAACACCTGATGATTGGGAGTTTCTTATCAAACTTGCAGAGTCGCTTGATAAACAACATTTTTGGTCTTTTGTGTGTCGTATAAATAAACAAATGATTGGGATTGCTGCATCTTGAACATCCTACATAAAGTTGGCTATGGGAGAAAACCGGTTTTGCAAGGTTAAGGCCTACCACATCCAAAGACTGCCTCTGAGTATTGTTAATGGCTGCAAAACTCAGTTTCACCAGCAATTGCAGCTGCTTGAATAACTTCATTGACATTTAGTACAGCATCAATGGAATTGTAGCTGCAATGCTCACCTGGCAACTGTTCCAGAAGGTTGATGTTCAAATCATCAACTGCCACATTCTTTGAAGCTAAAATGGTATGGATTCTCAGCCAGTTGTGGTCTGTAAACTGGTCTGAGAGGGCATCATCTTCCAGTAGTCTATGTTTGGCACAGACTTCTCTGTAGGTTGTATAGACTTCTCCATTATAACTTTGCAGGTCTGTGAATGATTTGGATCACTGACAGTGTGCAGCAGCAATTGCAGAAAAAAGCACTCCTGCTGATTGGGGTGCACAGTTTTGAACTGATATCATCTAATTAAACTGCCGTAATTAAAAGTGAAACTTAATGAGGAAGGTTACATGGCTCATGCCAATTAAGGATATGTGGATTTTTTAAGAAGGATGTCTGTTTCCACAGCTAGATTTTTTTTACACAGATGTGTATTGCATGAAAGTGTCCTCCAAACAGATTCCACAGACAACAGCAACAACTTCAATATGCTTTTTTAAGGGTAGGTTGAAATATGAACTTAGGTAAAGTTTTTGTTTGCAAATAAGTTCAATTTAAATGTTATTTTATGTTTAAATGACTGAATGGATTGAGCCAATTTCCTCATATTTAATAAATTTGAACCTGGTGAATGTAATGATGCACATGGCAAAATTTGAAACAAATTATTTTTTTTATAATGTAAACACACCACAGATAAAATATTCAAAGAAAGATTATGCTTAATTAATGTGTTAAATAAGGATTTTATTTAAAAAAAATAACTTGCAATTCATTCAGATGTTGTCCCCTAAATTTTCTAAATTGAAAAAAGATCCATATCTGAAATTTTAAGCTTTATAAGAGTTATTATTTTGTAACACTTGTATCTTAATTGGTCTTGCAAACTTTTTAGAAATTATCTCCTTTGCTTACGCACATGTAAACAGCATTTCGCATAGATCCAGCAGTGAGCTGTGATTTAGGGGTCCTAGTGGTCTGATTATAGATTTTTATAAAAATGCAATTAGCCTAGTAACAAATTGGATGCTAGTTTAACATGTATGCTAAGTTTCATCAATATTTGTTCATGTGTTTAGGCAGCAACTTGATTCAGGCAAACAGACAGAAATTACCATTTATATATATATAGGTTATCAAAATTGGTGCACATCATCAGTTAGTAACCCATATCTAGATTTTGTGCCCATTTCATCCAGTATCCCTTGTTTTTGATGGTATATGCAACATGTAGGCAGGTCTGCAGCTTTATACTGTTTGTTAACACTACAAGGGTAGGCTGAAAAACTCATATGCTGACTATGAAGGAATGATGCTAGAGCTGTGAAGACATGTATGGATTAATTAATAGCAGCATTGTTGTTTATTTCCAGGTAATTTGACATCTGTTCAAAGAAGATTTCAAAAGTTACCAGTAGTGAGTTCTCTTTAA